GATATTTTGGGCGTATAAGTACTAGAAAAAGAATGCTCCTCGCATTTCTTTGTCATTCATCGGTGCATCGGTCGCCTGCACTTCTCACAAGTGTCATCACATGTCTGACCGGTGGATACATCTCGGAACGTAGACTTCACCAGTCTACTTCTCCTGCTTCTTATCCAGAGATTCACCGCCGTGGGCCCCATGTCTTGGGCTCCAGTAGCTGGTTTCGATATTCTATTGACTACGGCTTTATAGTACATCATATATTAAATCAACAAATTGAAACTTAGTTAGATTTCGAAATTCAACCACATGAAAGCAAATATTGTTAGCCAGGAATGGGCACCATTTGTCTTTCAATCTTCAGCAGATGGATCTTAGTTCCCATATCGTCATCACCGATCTGCCAAGTGGACACCCCGCATACTGTGAACATCGCAGTGGAGTACAGATTTAGCCTGCTTTTTGCCCTGGGATCAACAGCTGTGGGAACCTCGGGCGCCTCTCCTGGAATTGTCACCTTGTCTTCGCCCATCATGGCCACCAGTACCACATCCCCCACCAGTCCCTCTAGCAAGCCCAGCACTACATCATTCTGGACATCGAACCCCAATTCCAAGTCAGACTGGCTTGGACCAGCCCTCCTGGCAGCAAAGACAATTACTGCAGGGGCAGAGTGTGTCCCATTTCCCTATGTGAAAGGGGCATTTGGTGTGATTATAGTCTTGCTGGAGACAGTTGAGGTACAGTATCTGGTAGTTCTCATAAATGGTATGTCTAACCATCACTTCCTGCAGAAAGCAAAGAAGAATCGGGATGACCTGAAGGAGCTGTGTGAAAATTCAATGGAAATCATGAAGATTGTTTGAGACCAGATATCATCTCATGGGCCTACTGCTGCTGAGAAGTTGAAGAGTGCCTGTGAGGAGCTTGAAAGGTAAATGACACAATTTTTCTGATTGCTGCTGTATTCATTTCATAATGACCCCTAGTGCTTTAAAAGTGATTGTGGATGAAGTAACCAAATGGCAAGATGCTCCCCGAGGTTTCCGTAGTCGTGTCAAGGAAATGGTCAAGTCAAGCAGTATCACTGATCAAATCGGTGAATATCAAAACAAGGTCCGAACACTGTGCTCAAATCTCAAGGTACACTCACACAGTCTAAAGAAAGTTTTTCTGATGCCCATTTCAGCTCGTTGTGGCAATTGATACAAATTTTGAAGTGCATAAAATCCATGGAGCCCTTATGACAATTGCCCCAAGTATCTTCACTATTTCTATTGAAACTCTCAAATCTTAAGAATATCTTTCCAGATGTGTCTGTTGCCCAAGCAACTCAGAGCATCAACAATTGTCCTCCACCATCCCGAATATTCTATGGAAGACAATCTATCCTTGCTAAAATGCACCAATATTTTACTGAGGACTTGGGGAAACAGCACATATATGTGCTCTATGGTCTCGGTGGTTCAGGAAAGACCCAGATTGCTCTCAAATTCATTGATGAATCAGCATCCAAGTGAGTTTTTGTCTCTGATTTGGCATTTAGGGCTGATTCAAATGCTCTTAGGTTCTCGGATATCTTCCTAATTGACACAAGCACTCCTGAAACAATTGATACTGGCTTCAAGAGAATTGCTGCCACAAAAAAGATTGGAGACACTGCACAAGATGCATTGGCCTGGCTTCACAGCAAACAAAATGAATGGCTGCTGTTCTTTGATAATGCAGATGACCCAAAAATTGATCTGCACAGTTTCTTCCCTTGCTGCAAGCATGGAAATATCCTCATCACATCTCGAAACCCTGAACTCCGAGGTTATGGGTCACATTCCCTTGTTTCTGATATGGAGGGAAATGATGCTGTAGAGCTATTACTCCGAAGTGCTGCCCAAGACATCACCCTGGAAAACAAAGCCACTGCCACTGAAATTGTCAAGGTCAGTCAGATATTACTCCTGTTCCCTTCAACTCATTTTGGCAGGCATTGTGGTACTTTCCCCTTGCAATTGTCCAAGCTGGTGCATTCATCTTAAAGTCTGGAGCTCTCAACAGCTATTTGGCACTTTATATGAAGAATAAAGAGCAGCTCCTGAGGCTAAAACCTGCCCAGTCTCATGATAATTATGCCTGGACAGTGTATACAACATGGCAGATTAGCTTTGGGAAGCTCAGCCAGACAGCTGCTATGATGTTGCAGCTCTGCTCATTTGTTCACCATGGAGGCATCTCTGAACAAATCTTCAAAAATGCATCAATGTACAGATTTCCAACTTCTGGTCCCTCTAAACAAGAGCTGCAGATCCCTGTTGAATTCTTGTCCCATTTCCTAGGACCTGATGGTGCCTGGGATTCCCTGTGCTTCTGGAATGTCACCAATGAACTCCAAGCATATTCATTGATCAATTTCGATGCAGCAAGTAATGTGTTTTCAATTCATCCCCTGGTGCACAGCTGGACTCGGAATACACTCACCAATGAGAAGTCTCACCATTCCTGCATGACTGCTCTACTGGGAATGTCTATTGCTGCAATATCTGATGATGACATCCAGCTGGCCAGTCTAGCCTTGCTCCCACATGTTGATTCACTATTACATATTGAAGCCCAAATTGATTTTACACCACAATATGGGAGGATATTCTTGAGGGCAGACAAGTATAAAAGGGCTGAGGAACTTTTAGTTCCAGCAGTTCAGAAGCAGAGGAAGGTTCTAGGTGATGACCATGTGGCAACCCTGGATGTGATGAATCATCTTGCAATTGCATATGAGAGGCTAGGCCAGTACAAGTTGGCTGAACAACTTCTAATCCTGGTGGTAGAAAAGAGGAAAAAGCATCTTGGTGAAGACCATCCAGACACTCTGGTTGCTATGTTTAGTCTGGCCTGGACATTTTTCAATCTTGGCCAACTGAAGGAGGCTGCAGAGCTTCAAACTGCAGTGGTGGAAAAGCAGAGAAAGATTCTTGGTGAAGACCATCCATCAACCCTGCTTGCCATGAATGATTTGGCAGTGACAAAAGAGGTGCTAGGTGAATTCAAGGCAGCAGAGGAGCTTCAAATTGCTGTACTGGATAGGAGAAGGAAGATCAGTGGTGATGGCCATCCAGAGACACTAACTGCCATGAGTAATTTGGCATGGATATATCGGCATCAAGGCCAGCTCAAGAAGGCTGAAGACCTGCAAGTTGTGCAGCTCAAAAAAGCAAAGAAGATTCTGGGTGATGACAATCCATCCACACTGATTTTCATGAATAACTTGGGCTTAACCCTCAGGGACCTAGGCCACTTCAAAAAAGCTGCAGAGCTTCAAGTTGTGGTGCTGGAGAAGAGACAGAAAATTCTTGGGGATGAACATCCAGAGACTCTGGATGCAATGAATAATCTGGGATTAACATATCACAGTCTTGGTGATTTCAAAGCGGCTGTAGAGCTTCACATTGAGGTGCTGGAGAAGAGAAAGAAAATTTCCACAGATAATCACCCCAGGACATTGCTTGCAATGAGTAATTTGGGTTACACATACCATGCCCTACACATGGACAAAGATGCAGAACAGCTTCAAACTATGGTCCTGGAGAAGAGAAGGAAGATTCTTGGTGAAAATCATCCAGACACTCTGCGTGCCATGAGTCATCTTGCAATGACATATCACAACATGTCCCAACTTAATGAAGCTGAAGAGCTGCAAATTGTAACATTGGAGAAGCAGAGAAACATTCTGGGTGAAGACCACCCAGACACTATGTTCTCCTTCAATAATCTGGCAATGGTATACCATGGTTTAGGATGTTTCCAGGAGGCTACAGAGCTCTTAATTATGGTGCTGGAGAAGCTGAGGAAGTACAATGGTGTTGACCATCCAAAGACCTTGCTCTCAATGCATAATCTGGGATGCACATACCACAGCCTAGGTCGACTGCATGATGCTGAGGAGCTTCAAAGCAGGGCGCTGGAGAAGCGGAAGAAGGTTCTTGGGGATGGCCATCCAGACACTCTATGCACCATGACCCATTTAGCAATGTCATATCACAGTCTCAACCGGTTAAAGGAAGCTCAGGAGCTTCAAATTATGGTGCTGGCGAAGCAGACAGCCATTCTCGGTGAAGATAATGCAGACACCCTGTTATCTATGAATAATCTCGCAATGACATATCACAGTCTTGGCCAGTTCCAGGAGGCAGAGAAGCTTCAACTTGTAGCATTAGAGAAGCAGAAGAGCTTGCTGGGTGAAGACCATCCAGACACCACGAGGTCAATGAACAACCTGGCATTGATGTACAATAGTCTTGGTCGGTTTCAAGAGGCAGAGGAGGTTCAACAAAAGCGAGGGCATACTTTGGGTGTGTCATAACAAGTATTGTCTTCTGCAACTAATTTAGAATTGACATCATTAGCCGACACTAATAAAAACTGAGAGCCGCAAGTCATGTAGGAAAAGGAGTAGCCCAAAACTTGTACCACCCATATGTATGGCAGGCAATAGTGCCACCCATCTTTTAAATTATCTTATTCCGCGAATTCGAAGTACCCAGTCAGATTCATAGTTTTGTGTGGTAATCTCTACCTCCCCTGGTCAGGACTTCATTTTGCACTGTGAGCCATCACATTGTGATAGCTCCCGACGTGACCTCAAAACACCGAACTCCAAGAACAACAGCTTAAGCCATCGACGCAAAAATGTACCCGGACCCAACTAATGGCTTGACGGAGAATCGAACTCCGAACCTTCCGCCAACCTATATGCAAATGCTGTAGATCCACGGAGCACGTTACCACTACGCTACCAAGCCATTCAAGAAGTTGAACCACCAAGGACCAACTCCGAGTTAAAAATGTTATCCGGACCCAATCCATGGCTTGATGGAGAACCGAGCTCCGAACCTTCCATCAACCGATATGCGAATGCTATAGGTACACGGAGCGCGTTACCATTACGCCACCAAGCCATGAACCGGACTACCAAAAATGCCAATAAGACCATTGCCGTGGGAAAAGAATGGTTATTGTCAAGGCTTGATGAAGAATTGAACTTCGGACCTTCCGTTAAACCATATGCGAACATTACATATCGCTACGGAGCGTGTTACCACTACGCCAACAAGCTGTACAAGTGGCCAAGATGATCGCTGTAAAAAAGAAGGGTTTCCGTCGAAACGGCTTGACGGAGAATTGAACTCCGGACTTCCCGTCAATCAATATAAAAATGCGCATTATAACGGAGTGCGTTACCATTACGCCACCAAGCCGTAGGAATTGAACGACCAGCCGAAACGATCACTGTAAACAGAAGGGTTTCCGTTGGAATGGCTGGACGGAGAATCGAACTCCGGACTTTCCGTCAATCGATATAAAAATCCATTATCACGGAGTGTGTTACCATTACGCCATCAAGCCGTAGGAATCGAACGACCAGCCAAAACTATCGCCGTGAAAAAGAAGGGTTTCCGTCATAATGGCTCAGCGGAGAATCGAACTCCGAACTCTCCGTAATGCATACCGCGAACTACATAGGAATGCGGAGTGCGTTACCATTACGCCAACTGAACCGTTCAAAATGTGCCCTATCTTCTTACTCGATGGACAAAAAGAACGCAAGGCTTGTCGGAGATTCGAACTCCAGTCCCTCCATTATTTCAGTTTCCCGCCAGCTATGCGAATAGAGTGCGTTACCACTACGCCACCGGACCATGTGCACGACCGATACGGAGGTCTGGGAAGAGGCGCACAAAAAGGAATGGAAAAGAGGGATGGTTCGACGGAGGGTTGAACTCCGGACTTCCTGCAAAGACGCGCTTGTGCAAGAACCATGGCAGGATGCGTTACAGTTACGCCATCGAGTCGTGAATACCAAACGGCCCAAAAGGATGGAACGAGAACTCCGGGTAATCAAAAAGGTGGGTAGCATAGGGAAAAGGCTCGACAGAGGATCGAACTCCGGACTCTCCGTAAGTCAAACACTGGGGTGAAAGGATACGGAGTGCGTTTTCCACTACACTATCGAGCCATCGCAGGCAGGAGCCGGATAGGAGGAGAGTTAGGACCGGACATGGAATGTCCGAGACTAGGGGCAACAAGTTCGGGTTGCGGAATCGGTGCCTGACTGAAGATGGTGCGGGTATGGGTTCACGGAGTTCAGGAATGAGTCACAAGCAAACTCCGGGCGGAGGAGCATGCGAGCGAGCAGGTATGGGACACAAAGGAACAACTCCGGCACAGCCTTGGGCTGGGTATAAATACTACAGCTAGTTTACCAAAATATCATCTCAGTTTCGGCCCACATCCTCACCTTCTAAGCCTTAGCCAGCTTAGGAGTAGCTAAAACCTGCCCCAAACATCACTTAGAGGTCACCTGGAGTCGAGTTACACAGTAAATCGACCTCGGCACTCCCTCGCCGCCGTCAGACAGCGAACAGAGTTTCATTTGGCATAAGTTCAGCGCCGAATATCGAACCGTTTATTCCTCCCCTACATCAGTAGGGCAGTGAAATCTCTCAAACAGCACAACGAGGTCTTCGGAGTTCGTGTGTAGCTGCTAGCTAAGGAAGTTGGCGGTGCAGAGCCCGCAGGAAGTCACCTTCAGCAAGCGAACGGGTGAGAAGTAGAGAGAGGAAACTCTGTAGAGGCACAAAGAGGGGTAAAGGGAGGAGAAATTGCAGGAATGTTACCGCGAACACATGATTCCGGAGGTCCTGAAGGAGTTATGTGAAAATTCAATGGAAATCATGAAGATCATTCAAGACCACTTATCATCTCATGGATCTACTACTGCTGCTGAGAAGTTGAAGACTGTTTGTGAAGAGCTCGAGAAGTAAATGTCACAGATTGTCAGATAATAGCTCAGGCTGACATGTCCCTACCAGTGCCTTAGAGATTATTCTGAGTGAAGTAAAGGAATTGCAAGGGGCTCCCAAAGGGTTTCATGGTCGTTTGAAAGAAATGGTCAAGTCCAGGAGCATCACAGATAAGATCAGTGTATATCAGAACAAGGTCCAAACACTATGCTCCAATCTCAAGGTACCTTCACACAGTCCAAAGGAACTTGTTCTTATGCCCATTTCAGCTTGTTGTAGTAATTGATACAAACTTTCAAGTCCATAAGATCCATGCAACCCTTGCAACAGCTGTGCCAAGTATCTTTTATTATTTCTATCAAAGCTCTCAAATCTTACATATCATTCCAGATTTGTCTGTTGCTCAAGCCACTCCGAGTATTAACAACTGTCCTCCACCATCCCGAATATTCCATGGAAGACAAGCTATCCTTGCTAAAATGCACCAATATTTTGCTGAGGACTCGGTGAAACAGCACATATATGTGCTGTATGGCCTTGGTGGTCCGGGAAAGACCCAGATTGCTCTCAAATTCATTGATGAATCAGCATCCAAGTGAGTTTTGTCTCTCATACAACATTTATTGCTGACTTGAATACTCTTAGGTTCTCTGATATCTTCCTAATTGACACAAGCACTCCTGAAACAATTGATACTGGCCTGAAGAGAATTGCTGGAACAAAAAAGATTGGAGACACTGCACAAGATGCTTTGAACTGGCTTCACAGTAAACAAAATGAATGGCTGCTGTTTTTTGACAATGCAAATGACCCAAAAATTGATCTGCATAATTTCTTCCCTTCCTGCAAGCATGGGAACATCCTCATCACATCTCGAAACCCCGAACTCCGAGGTTATGGGTCACATTCCCTTGTTTCTGATATGGAGGAAATTGAGGCCATGGAGCTATTACTCCGAAGTGCTGCCCAAGACACCGCCCTGGAAAACAAAGCCACTGCCACTGAAATTGTCAAGGTCAGTAAGATATTATTCCTGTAGCCCTTCAACTCATTTTGGCAGGCATTGTGGTATTTGCCCCTTGCAATTGTCCAAGCTGGGGCATTCATCTTGAAGTCTGGATCTCTCAACAGCTATTTGGCCCTTTATACAACAAATAAAGAGCAGCTCCTGAGGCAAAGACCTACCCAGTCTCATGATGACTATGCCTGGACAGTGTATACGACATGGCAGATTAGCTTTGCCAAGCTCAGCCAAACAGCCACTATGATGTTGCAGCTCTGCTCATTCCTCCACCATAAAGGCATCTCTGAACAAATCTTTAAAAATGCATCTCTGTATGGCTTTCCAACATCTGGCCCATCTAAACAAGAGCTGCAAATCCCTGTCGAATTCTTGTCCTATTTTCTAGGACCCAATGGTGCCTGGGATTCTCTGCGCTTCTGGAATGTTAAGGTAGCGGACATACAAACACGGTTGCCCCACGTGACTGCCCAAAAGGAGCGATTGTAGGCTTGCACGATGAGAGTGGAAAATCTGGCTCAACAGCTTTGTGTGAATGTATCTGAAGACCGTTCCAAAATATTTTGGGGAATTTCGCTTGAGAAATGAAGGACGAGTTCCCAAATTGATGTGGGCCGACAATACCTTCAATTTCTGATCATTTTGGAACTAGTCCTTAAGTTCCCCACTTTTACACAAGCTTTAACCACAAGTGAGTAGGCCTGAACAATGCAAACGATACTGTTGGGCCAGAATTTCTATTTCGGACAAAAAAAAGGTGGATTCGGGGAAATCTTCTCAATCAGGCTAAATCACGTGGGGCAACTGTGTTTGTATGTCCGCTACCTTACCAGTGAACTCCAAGCATATTCATTGATCAATTTCGATTCAGCAATAAATGTGTTTTCAATTCATCCCCTAGTGCACAGCTGGACTCGGAATACACTCACCAATGAGTGTTACCATTCCTGCATGACTGCTTTAGTGGGGATGTCTATTGATGGAATATCTGATGACAACATCCAGCTAGCTAGTCTAGCACTGCTCCCACATGTTGATTCATTAAATGTTGGAGCCCAAGTCAATTTTATACCACAATATGGGAGGATATTCTTGAGGGCAGCCAAGAATAAAAGAGCAGAAGAACTGTTATTTCAAGCAGTTCAGAAGCAGAGGGAGGTTCTAGGTGATGACCATGTAGCAACCCTGGATTTGATGGGGCATCTAGGAGCTACATACGAGAGGCTAGGCCAGTACAAGTTGGCTGAAGAGCTTCTAATCCTGGTGTTAGAAAAGAGGAGGAAGCATCTTGGTGAAGACCATCCAGACACCCTGGTCGCTATGTTAGATCTGGCATGGACAGATATAGGTCTTGGCCAGCTCAAGGAGGCTGTAGAGCTCCAAACTGTGGTAGTGGAAAAGCGGAGAAAGATTCTTGGTGAAGACCATCCATCAACTCTGCTTGCCATGAATGATTTGGCATTAACAAACACTACATTAGGTCAATTCAAGGCAGCTGAGGAAATTCAGATTACTGTCCTAGATAAGAGGAGGAAGCTCAGTGGTGATGACCATCCAGAGACACTGACTGCCATAAACAATCTGGGATTAACATACTGGCATCTAGGACAGCTTCACAAAGCTGAGCAGCTTGATATTGTGCTGCTGGAAAAGTGAAGGAAGATTCTGGGTGAAGATCATCCAGACACCCTGATTGCCATGAGCAATCTGGGCTTTATATACCGTGATCAAGGCCACCTCAAAGAAGCTGCAGAGCTTCAAGTTGTGATGCTGGAGAAGGACAGAAAATTCTTGGGGATGAACATCCAGACACTCTGGTTGCAATGAATAATCTGGGCCTAACATATCGTGATCTTGGCAATTTCAAAGCAGCTGTAGAGCTTCAAATTGAGGTGCTGGAGAAGAGAAAGAAAATCTTAACAGATAACCATCCCCACACATTGGATGCAATGAGTAATTTGGGTTACACATACCACACCTTACGCATGGACAAAGAAGCTGAAAAGCTGCAGACTATAGTGCTGGGGAAGAGAAGGAAGGTTCTTGGTAATAACCACCCAGATATTCTGCGTGCCATGAATCATCTTGCAATGACATATCACAACATGTCCCGACTTAATCAAGCTGAAGAGCTTCAAATTGCGACATTGGAGAAGCGGAGAAACATTCTTGGTGAAGACCATCCAGCCACCATGTTTTCCGTGAATAATCTAGCAATGGTTTATCACAGTTTGGGAAGGTTCCAGGAGGCTATTGAACTGTTAATTGCAGTACTGGAGAAGCTGAGGAAGATAAATGGTGTAGACCATCCAGACACATTGCTCTCAGTGCACAATCTAGCATTGGTATACCACAGCATAGGCCAGCTTAATGATGCTGAGGAACTCCAAAGTGCAGTGCTGAAGAAGTGAAGGAAGGTTCTTGGGGGTGACCA